TTATGTGTTTGATTTTTACAAGATTTTCATTCAATTCTAATGTCCAAAAACCAAAATCTTTTCCACAAAAAGATAAAAAAAAATGGATTCAGACTTTTTGTTATTAATATGTACTTTACTGTTTAAAAATTCATATGTTATTATTCACATTTTCAACTGTCTCTTTATTACCTTATTCCTCGTATGAAAGGCTTTTATAAAAGATGTGGGAAAACTACAAGATACTATTTAGTCATTCATCAAAAACTGTTAAAGGAGAGGGCTGATTGAGACTTATCTAATTTAATTATTTTAAGATAAAAGGCAATGAATGAGGAATAATCTTAGTAAAAATGCTAGAGCAAGGACAGTGAAAATCTCCAATTAAATCCACACCACTAGCAACATTTGTCAACGTATTAATGTATACATGAAAAAAAGTTAACCAATGTGTCAAGCCATCCAGGGAGAATTTATTCAAGTAAATTACTAAATTACAGCAAGTTAAAAAAAATGAACGTCATGGCATTTAGCCAGTTTGATTCACATCCTTGAAAATCAACAGCCAGGAAAAGACTAAATGGCAGCTCTTCCCAGATGTGTAAGGGACAGCTGACTTGGAAGTCCTTAGAAACAAACCCTTTGCAGGAGAAGCCACTCACCTTACCTGTCTGGTGGACCCCCTGGAAAACCAGACGTCCAGGGCTTTTTCCTGACCCACAATGTGCCCTCTAAGAATAGACTTTTCCTCAGTGGCACTAGAAGCAGCTGCTAATTCCATGGTTGTCTGACATATTGACTACAACTTAGAGAAAATAATTCAAAAATTTTAAAGGAAGTAAGGGAACTGGGTCTCCATAGAGACAGATAAAAACAAGTTCTGAGAACATAGAAAGCCATGCTACTTGTAGAGCTGTGCATAGGGTCATAAAAGATCCAAGGATGCCCTAAGTTCTCACCTCCCATTGATTTCTGCCCTGTGCCAACAGGAAGTAAAGCTAGGTGAAGTGAGGACAATGGCAGCAGACTTCGACATGCAGGACTGGGGGACTTCCTGTTTGTGGCTGCCTCCGTCCATCACTCACTGACTAATAAGATCACCAATCAGATAATTCATTGGGCACAGGGACTAGAAGTCACTGAAAAAGCAATGGTGATAAATAACGAATAACAGTAACAATAAACGTCATGTAATGTGGAAATATGATTCCCAGAACAGCTGCAATGTGTTATTTATTATGTCCAGTTTTGCACAAAAAGCAATACTAATAAGTAATACTAATAAGTAAGAAAGTATGAAGGAGAAGAAAAAAGGCCATTAAAAGTTATTCTTGGGGAAAGCCTCTTTGTGAGATTCTTTAATTCAGTTATTAAAGAAGTCAACTCAGTTATTATGAACACCTCTAATATACCATCATAGTAACATTCCACCACAGGCAATTTCAATAAAACAATATAAATCTTCATGAATGCTGGGTTAGAAAATACTTTCTTTGCTATGACCCCAAAAGTACATCCCCCAAATTGACAAATTGGACATGGTAGGCACTGCAAAGTAGGTGGAGAAGCCATGTGTGCTATATGCAATGGAGAGAAACAGCATGAAGGCAACAGCTATTCAGAAGGCAAGATCATTCAGATAACTATCTGGTGCTTAAAACAACTCGGTGGTTTCTTCTGTATCACTTAACTTACTGGTTCGATAGTCACTACTGAAGAAAATGTGAAGAATAATGTAATCCATGCTACTGCTTCTCAATGGCTCTAATAAAGTGTCTTGAGGTATTAATTGTCAGCTACTGTTAACAGCTGAACCACGGACTTGGGAGTTTACAATAGTAAAAGCTGCCCTTTGTTCCTAGCATGAAAGTTGATCAGCTCAAGATGGAAAGAATGTAGAGGATTGAAGATTGTGGGAATTAACCCACGTTGGTGCCAATTGAAGGTGGGGGGGGGAAAGTGAGTTCACCAGACCCAAATAAAAGATAAATAGGTGTTCTGTTGGGGGAAGAGCTTACACAGATAAGAGTAAATCACTGCTGCAGCCTTCCTGCTCCAGAAGATATAGTCTCGGCCCTTCTGATGCTCTCCCCAACCCAAAGAGAGAGCACCCCCCCCCAACACATATACTTCTCTACCTTAAAGCAATCAAGTCTACACCTGAAACCATGTCCAAAAGGGAGTGGCCTCTACTGCAATTTTACTGGCAAGGCAAGAAGCCACTACAGAGGGGAGTTCTTCCTTCTTCTTTTCCTCCTCCTCCTTTTCATCTTCTTTTAAACAAATTTCATTTAAATTAGAAACAATACTATTTTACATAACAATCCCAGCTCCCTGTCCCTCTCATCCTCCCCTCCCCTCCCCCCACTCCCTCATCTCAGTCCCTATCTACTCCCCAGGAAGGGTGAAGCTTTCCATGAGGAATCATCAGAATCTGTCAAGTCATTTGGGGGAGGGCCTAGGCTCTCCTCCATGTACCTAGACCAAGGGAGTATCCCTCCATGGGGAATGGGCTCCTGAAGTCCGTTCATGCACTAGGGATACATCTTCCATCTGGGTTCCACTGCCAAACACCCCATAGACTGCTCAGTTCTCCTAGCTGATACCCATGTCCAAGGGGGCCTGGTTTGGTTCTATGTTGGTTCCCCAGCTGTCAGACGGGGGTCCATGAGTTCCCACTGGCTCAGGTCAGCTGTTTCTGTGGGTTTCTCCAGCCTGGCCTTGATCCCTTTGTTTGTCACTCCCTCTCTGAAACTGGATTCCAGGAGTTTGGCTTAGTGCTTAGCTGTGGATCTCTCCTTCTGCTTCCATCAACTATTGGATGAAAGATCTAAGATGGCATTTAAGGTAGTCATCTCCACTATTGCTTAGATTCCTAGTAGGAGTCATCCTTGTGGATCTCTGTACAATTCCCTAGTGTCAGAATTATCTTTAAACCTATAACGGCTCCCTCTATTGATGTGTCTGCTTTCTTGCTCTCTTCTGTTCATCTCCCCACTCAATCTTCCTGATCCCTCTTGTTCTCCTTAAAATTTGTAGGCAAATGGATAGAACTAGAAGAAACCATCCTAAGTGAGGTAATCGTCACAGAAAGACAAACATGCTATGTAGTCACTCATATATGGATATTAGACATAGAGCAACGTTTTACCAGACTACAATTCACACCTTCAGAGAAGCTAGGAAACAAGGAGGACCATAAGAGTGACATACACGCTCCTCCGGTGAAGGGGACAAGAGCCCATGAACAATTGGGAACATGGGGGAGGGGTAGAAGAAAAAGGAGGGGAGCAGAGGGAGTTCTATTCTGCACAGTTACTTAGACAAGGATGCCTTCTTGAGGTTCCAGCATCTATACACAGGCTTCTAGAAACTGCAGCCATTTGCTAGAAGGAGAGAGAGCAGAATCAAGAAAAAGGTGACCCAAGCATGGACCAACTTCTACACTGTCTATTATCCAGAATTCAGTAGTACATCCTACTCAGTTCCAGAGATGCATGGCGACACTAATTTAGCAAAATGTTCGAGGAAGCAATGCTTAGCATTGTCTCTGTCACTGAAAGGGACAGGGAGCTCAAAGATAAGGACTCACTCTGAACAATCCTGTCATGGTTTATAACTCATGGTCAATGCCTATGAAACGCTGACAGATAAAACCCAAAATAATCATAACAAGAAAATGACTTGGGAAATATCATAACCATGAGTTTAATTAATTTCACATAACTTTCCTGTGACCTCTTCCAAGAAGCACAAGTGAACACGCACACACTAGCCCTGGCCTGAGCAATGGCATAGACCGAGCATTTACTTCTTCATTTTGTTACACTTCTAACCGTGGAAGATAAATAACAACAAAACCAAGAACTCTACCTTTAAAAATCAAACAACAACAAAAACAAAATCCAACCTACCAACAAGCAAAAAACAAACAAACAAAAACAAAACAAACAAACAAACAAAAAAACAACTCGAAGAACATAGTCACACTGTTTACACTGTTGACTGTCTAAGTTCACAGTCCGCATGCTTTCTTTCATTAATACCACTTGAACTTTTTACATTTCGTGAATGAAAACGTTTCCAGTTGGTACAACAGTAACTGCAATGGAGAAACACAGTTATTACCTTTCAAGAAGTGAGCGTGTTGTTAATTCCTGGCTGATCTCTAAGTATCCACAGCATACCTATCCATCTTAATAAATACTGCCTGTGTTTCGAGTCTTTCAAACTGGACCTTCCCTCACTCAGGGGGTTCCTGGACTGAGGGACGGGCAGTGGTTCTTTTAGGAATGCAGGATAGCGTGCACTTCGTTTCATTTTACACTCGCGCACACATGCAACCCCATTTCACTCAGGAAAGAGCCTGGGCTGATTCCCGATTATTTCGGTGGTATCAGAACATGCTGGAACAACCAAGTCAATTTTTCTTAAAACTTGGAAATGAGAACCCAGTATCTCACAAGCTGCTTGTTTCTCACCCCATCAGCTTTGGCCACTGAGCAGGTGCTGCCCTGTAATCTGTCTGTGCAGGATCTGTGTCTCAGAACCTCTGTACATGGATTGGCCAGGAGGAAGTAGAGGCGGAGCCATTCAGAACAGTTTCCCCCCTCCACTTAAGCATAAGAAAGCACCAGCCGGCACCAGGCTGCACTGGCTCACAGGGATGCTCTAGCTGGAAGCTCAACTTCTGAGAGGCTCCGGTGTGAGCAGGGGCGCTTAAACCTGGCTGTACAGTGACTCTCAGGAAATGGGCTCTGAAAAGACCCTGAGTGAATAAAGCTAAAGCGAAAACGGCGGCGGGAAACAAAAGCAAACGGCGGTCTGGTCAACCTAGAATGAGCTTTCAGAAGCCCCAGTCTCTAAAGAGATGAGAAGTGGAGCTGAGCCCAGAAGAGACCAACAACTCCTTTGCAAGCCCCCCTGCTTCTGATCGTGCTCACAGCAGGTGCCAACTGCAGCGTCCCAACTTCCACACACAGGCACAATCTGGGAGAAAAGCACCGGACCGGACCGGAGGTTCTCTGATCAAGGAGGTTGTCTCGATTCAAGGAGGATTCGAATCCAGCTGCTGCAGGAAGATGAACTTCACCCACCACCATGGCATGTATACGTCCCTCCACCTCTGGAACCGCAGCAGCCATGGGCTGCATGGAAATACCAGCGAGTCCCCGGGGAAGGGGTACTCAGACGGAGGATGCTATGAGCAACTTTTTGTCTCCCCGGAGGTGTTTGTGACTCTGGGTGTCATAAGCCTTTTGGAGAACATTCTAGTGATCGTGGCAATAGCCAAGAACAAGAACCTGCACTCACCCATGTACTTTTTCATCTGTAGCCTGGCTGTGGCTGATATGCTGGTGAGCGTTTCGAACGGGTCGGAAACCATCGTCATCACCCTGTTAAACAACACAGACACCGATGCACAGAGCTTCACCGTGAATATTGACAATGTCATTGACTCTGTGATCTGTAGTTCCTTGCTTGCATCCATTTGCAGCCTGCTTTCCATTGCAGTGGACAGGTATTTCACTATCTTTTACGCACTCCAGTACCATAACATTATGACGGTTAAGCGGGTTGGGATCATCATAAGTTGTATCTGGGCAGCTTGCACGGTGTCAGGCATCCTCTTTATCATTTACTCGGACAGCAGTGCTGTCATCATTTGCCTCATCACCATGTTCTTCACCATGCTGGTACTCATGGCCTCTCTCTATGTCCACATGTTCCTGATGGCGAGGCTTCACATTAAGAGGATTGCTGTCCTCCCCGGCACTGGCACCATCCGCCAGGGTGCCAACATGAAGGGGGCGATTACCCTGACCATCCTCATTGGGGTCTTCGTTGTCTGCTGGGCCCCTTTCTTCCTCCACTTACTGTTCTATATATCTTGCCCTCAGAACCCATACTGTGTGTGCTTTATGTCTCATTTCAACTTGTATCTCATACTGATCATGTGTAACGCCATCATTGACCCTCTCATTTATGCACTCCGGAGTCAAGAACTGAGAAAAACCTTCAAAGAAATCATTTGCTTCTATCCCCTGGGAGGCATCTGTGACTTGTCCAGCAGGTATTAAGTGGGGACTGAGTGCAGTCCCAGGAACCTGCAGACTTTCCCACTCTGGCACAACCCGAGCAGTGTGCTTTGATGACAGCTGCCTCTTTTGTGTAGTGCTTTGGCTGGAAATATCTACTGCATACGTTTCAGTTTATGACTTTTGATATGGAAAAAAGGTCTTAACCGGTCATTTTTAATGTCATGCTACTTTTTGGTCTGTCAAATGCTAACTTGTGTTCTATATTGTGGGCGCTATGAAGTTACATAAAAAAGAAAGCCATCCTTATTAAAAGCTTACCAATGTCTCTTTCCTGTTATTTATCAAGAGTCAACCCTTGTCTTTCCTGTAGTGACAGAAGCCAGAGCCTTATTAAATATGTTCTCAGCTGTTTTCAGGTATCACCCCACAGCACCGCAGAAGCTTGATCCCACTATTTATACAGAAATGTTCAAAAGTCAGTCCCACCAGAGAAATTTCAAGCAACTTAGTAAAAGTTTACCTATTATCCTTTGTCCAAATATACTGATGCTTCTCTTTAAATAAAAGATTAAAAGAAAAGCAGCAGCTACTGAGCAAAAGAGCGAGGTTTGAGTCACGTGCATATCTCAAAGACAGAGTTTCTTGTCATATGCATTTCTACAGACCAATAGCTTCATAGTACACATAGGCAATTTAGCGGGGGGGGGGGCAAATGCCCACTATTAAGATTTAAATGCTCTGGCAAACCTAAACTGACTATACCATGCTGAAGTTCCCTATGCCAAGTGGTCCCCAAACGTGAGTGACCAAACAGAATGGATTCTGTCTGGCCTCTTAACCAGGGATCCAGTTCCCACAGAAATGTCCAGAAAAGTAGGCACTGCATCGAGAGACACAGTATTTCATCTTTGAGTTGATAATGAGTTATTACATGTTTCATATGGTGGGGGTTTGCTTGCTGTTCATTTTCTGAGTTGTATCAGTACCGAAGATCAAGCATTTAACTTCCCAAGCCAAATCCACATCACAAAAACATTTTGGAAACATTTTTGCAAATACCTAAAATGCAGGACCCTGTGGTGCTGGCACATCAGAGATGGAAGGAAGACATATACTGGGTCTTGGAAGGTATAATAGAGTATCTGATGTTCTTAGATACATCTTATAGATGGGAATACTTGTTTTTCCCCAAAATAATAAGTAGGTGTGGTCACTGAGCAACCAAATCAATGTTTTCTGGTCTGTGTATACTTTAAGAGTCTGTATTAGGCTGAGGATTAGTGGGAAACTTTCCTGTAATTCAGTGAACAGTGTCTCCAAATACTCATAGGCAAAAATGCTGCACAGCCGTATATGGGAATTAAAATCTAAATGTTTGACATATTGAGTATAAGCCCAAGAAACACTTAGGGCATTCATGTGCAAATACACATCAGAGTACAATGGTGATGCTGTTTTAAGGTCCTGTCCACTGAACAAAACTGACACCACACTCGTAAGATTAGCTGTGCATTCTTGCACACAGGTGGCATCACAATCAGGTGTCACTGGATCTCATCTGAGTGCCCATCCACTTACCCAGCCATTTGTACACAAGCAGTTTGGTGCGACAGAATTCAGAGGCAGCAGTGTATGTGCCGAGAAGGAAAAGGCAGAGAGCTCCATCTGTGCAGCCATGGGGAACACGTCCTCTATGGTGAGTGAAGACTCGCCAGTGTGTCTGCTTCGTGGTCACACTTCCAATCCTGTAACTCCTCGTTCACGCTCTTTGTGTAAGCCTAACAAACTCATTGGATTCCTCAGGGTGAACTTTGCTGGAATCATATGTGGGTGTGTGGCTGGGCCCATAGGAACAAGGGGTAGAAACTATTCATATTTGCCCCAAGGAAGATGTCAACAGCAGAACCTTTAACCAATGGAGAGTGTTTCTAAGGCTGGGTTTTAACCCTGCCACAATTCTTCCACCTTAAAACAAAATTGAATGCCAGGTTTTACACAACCAACTAAGTCCACTGAAGTTTGGATACTAAATGTTCTTCAAAGGTCCATGAGTGAAGGCTTGCTCTCTACTGGGACATGGCAGAGTCCATGGGACCCATGGGAAGGCTTCTAGTCACCAGGAGTGCACACTTGGAGGGGATAGTTGAAATGTAGCTCATTCCTCATTCTCTCTCTTGCTTCCAGAGGTGATAACATAAGCAGGAGCTGCCTCACCACAGGGTCAGCACAAGGAGACCAGTCAGTCCTATACTAAACCTCCCAAACTATCAGCCAACTTGAACATTTTTCACTTTATGAATAATCTTAAGTGGATTTTATAATGATCAGAGGATTAGTAAGACACAGAACCCCAAACTATAGTAGCCCTCCAGGTGGCATTTGTTTGTTTTTACTGTTACCATTTCTTGTTTCACACAATGACCCCAAGAGATCCAGAGACTGTAGATATGAAGACCAGCATATGCCTACCCTGTCTCTGAAGCAGTGATCTTTCCAAACTATTCTCTTTTTACCCCTCTTCAGGTGTCATCTCGGATGTCCAGAAGAAAGTTCTCTTTTTTAAAGTATTTAAAAATTTTATTTCATGTGCACTTGTGTTTTGCCTGAATATATGTTTGTGTGAAGGTGTCCGATCCTTTGGAACTGGAGTTACAGGCAGTTATGATATGTCATGTGGGTGCTGGGAATTAACTCTGGGTTCTCTGGTAAAGCAGCCAGTGTTCCCAACCACTGTGCTCTCTCTCCAGCCCCAAAAGTTCTGATTATTCCTTTATGCTCACATGGTTTTGTTAGAGCAGTCTGTAGTGTTAATATACTCACTGGCTGTGGACCAGCCATGTACCATAAGGTTCTCTGAGATGTTTGGAGGAACACTGTGGGGCTTTAGTGTCTTCCTACACTGAGAATGTCTCTTTCTAGCTTGTTCTATGCTTCAAACCATCCTGGGGATGTTACTTCCTCATTTTCTTAAAAACAAACAAAACAGAAACAAAAAACTACATTTCTACAGAGAGACAGTCCTAAAACTGACCTCTGATGACTTGCTGATAACCAATGAAGTTTGGAGTTCCAGGTTCTCCAGCTGAATTGGTATAGCATCACGACAAATGAGAAGCTTCATGCCTATGGCATCATGGAGAGAGAATGTAAGTATGGAGAATAAGAATGGAGAGAGATTTAGTAAGTAAAAATCCAGGTATCTATTTCTATCTGCAACACCCTCTCCCCCGCAGCAATAAAGTACCTTCCAGAAAAGTGAACTATAGAGAGGGTTCACCTTTCAGGTTGAAAGCATATGACTATCCACCTAGTGGGGTAAGAGCATGAGCATCCTGGGTGAAAAAGAAACAAATAAATGCATGGAGAACAGGAAAAGAATGAAAGAATGTTTACCAGGCTGTGGATCAGTTATGTTAGCCTGTATGTGTGTGTATGGATGGATGGATGGATAGATAGATAGATATAGACAGATAGATAGATCCATAAAATATGTATGCATAAGCAGAGACTTTAAATAGTAATCAACCCACCCTGACTGGTGGCCCCAGAATTTCTGCACATGGAGACAGAAGATACAATGTGGTTCAAGTGAGTCACAAGGGACAGTCTTGGAGCCTTTTGGCACAGCTGTCACCTTTCACTGGCACTGTACTTTATAACACAAATAAACAAAAGACCAGGAGACAGATACTGGGGTTCAAGCTGAAAATCAGAAAAGCAAGGCAGCCAGCCACTAGCTCTTACCTCTACCTCAGACCAAAATGGGTGCCCTGTCTCCATGAATCCTCAGAGTGCAATCCTCAGAGGCAACGTGCAGACTGCACTGCTCTCCATCAAGCCCCAGACTGCAATCCTGAGTTCCTTGTTTTCTCCTGTCTTATATTTTTCTCACCACCTAGCACATGATCCCAAGTGCTGAGGTCAGCTTTGAGAGAGCAGTTTCTCTTTTAGACTGGATCAGTTTCATGTAGCTCAGTGTGACCTTGAACTAATGGAGATCAGTCTGCCTCTGTTTCCTGAGTCCTGGAATTAAAGATGTATACCACCAACCACCTGGCCTCTATGGCTAGCTGGTATGGCTGCTGGGATTAAAGGTGTGTATCGACAATGCCTGGTTCTATGGCTGTGGTTACCTCTGCATTTTGATCTCCAGTTGCTTTATTAGATCATAAACAATTTATCACCATGCTGTGTCTTCTTGAAATGTTCCTGCAGGGTGATTCCACAGCAGTGGTACAGTTCATGAACATTGGCATTAGGCTGAGCCCATCATGTCCCTTCTGTTTGCTGAGGAGGGAATGAAGGCAATGGGATTCCTGTCTGTGTATTATCAGTCCACTGAGTGCTATTCCAACACCTGGTAGATTATTTGTCCTTCAATATTTCTTCTACCAGTCTAAAAAACAGTATCACACATGCTATAGAGTTTTAATTAATGCTTCCTAACTGGCTTTTTTTGTTCCTTACTACTTTCATTATGTTTTTCTACTAAATTTGTTCTGTTGTGATACAATAATACAAGACAAAAAACGTAAACCACAAGCAAGTGTAGAAAAGCCCGTTAGTTCACACATTTAGCCCAGTATTTTGTTTCAATGGGTTGAGATATGAACATATCCTGCTGCACATTGGCTTCACAGAATCTTCCTGGACAGAATACACATCTGCTTGCAATCAAAGGACAGTAGAAGGACTATACACTTGTTACAGAAATAATGTAGCATAGTTATCAAGGCCTCAGAAACTCACTTTCATCACAGGTCCCTATTACAGCATCAGAAAAAAGAATAAAAGAATAAAGGAAATTTGCTCAAATCAGTCACATGTGTGTTCCCAAAGGAGAAAAACAGATTTTTTCCATGATGTAATCACTAAGAATTTAATTATAGCATCATAGGGAGCAGTGGCTGGGGAGCACTCACTGGGGAGCATCCACTGGGCAGCACTGACTGGGGAACATCCACTGGGGAGCACCAATGGGGAGTACTCTCTTGGGAGCACTCACTGGGGAGCAATAACTGAAGAATGGGCCCTGAAAACATCAGTCTATCTAGTTGGTAACAGTTTCTAAAGATAAATGAAAAGTGTTCAAATATGTCCATAAATCAGCAGGACCCAAGTTTCTGAGTCCTCTTACCTTCAAATGAAAATTGATCCAATGCTTCCAAGAGCTGTATGGAACATGTATTATGAACCAACATGTCTGTCTTTTGATTTTGTCACAGTTTATTGAAGAAATGGG